GACCTATACAATTTTTTCTTTTTGATTTTTTTACCTGGATTACTGAGATGCTTCAGGACATGCATAGACGAGCCTTTTAGGATGAAACAAAAGTAAAACAACCAGCATCTTACTACCATCCAATATTTTACCGACACGTTTTTGGTTCTTTGTTGGACCCAGGCCGATGATAGCCAAGAAGAACCCGAAGATCCCCATGTCAAAGATGATGACCATCCTGGGGGCCAAGTGGAGGGAGTTCAGCTCCAACAACCCCTTCAAAGGCAACGCCGCCGCCGTAGCAGCGGCTGCAGCGGCCGCCGCCATCGCTGTCGCCGAGCAGGTCTCTGCAGCGACCGCCTCGCCCGAGCCGCCACCTCAACCGCCACCGATCAGAAAGGCCAAGACGAAAGAGGGCAAAGGTCAGTGGTGAGCTTTGAACCTGATCATCGCTTGTGATCCTTTCTATTTGTCAAAATCAACTATAAACAGACTGCTTCCTGATTCCTTTACCACCCACTCTGTCCAGGTCCAGGATACAAGAAGCGCAGTAAAAGTCCTCGAGTGCCAGACAAGAAAAAAGCCGCGGCCAAGGCTAAAAAGATGGCACCCATTCGTATTAAACTTTTACCTATCAGTGCCAAGAGGAAGAAGAGCTGCTCTGTGAGTCTGGAGTCCCCACCGTGCCTTGTTCTTAGAAATAAAGAACTGCTTTGTGTTTGTTTTGTGCATCTTCTGATTTCTGCGCCTCTGTCAGAGCGACGACCTGGACGAGGACGAGTCGGAGCAGGAGGACTCCAGTGTCCACAGCTCCTCCGTTCGCTCGGACAGCTCCGGCCGAGTGAAGAAGAACAAGAGAGGACGGCCCGCCAAGAAGAAGAAGAAAAGTAAGAGTTGCTTCACAGACCTCACACAGTGTTAAGTTTAGAAAGTCATTAATCTGCAAAATATTTGGCACAAAACTCTTGACTGGTTCCGAGTTTTGCAGCTTAAATTTTTTGAAAAGATAATCAAGCTTAAAACAGACGACATAGACACTAAAAACTGCTGGGTTATTTTAATTACTTCATTTCTGGATTAAAGTTGTTGGTTTATAGGTTGAGATGGTTTGAAGAAACAATGGTGCAAAATGTTTGACTCGAGTCAGAAATTAACTGTTTCATTCTTCATGATTTGCCATTTTAAGCTAGAAGTTGACTGAATTATATCTGACTTCTATTTAAAATGTAATAAGTAAAGATAAGACAGTACAAACAACTTGTAAGAGGATATTTGACCTGGTTGGCTTTGTTAATAACTTTAGTTTGACAGTAAGTTTTGTCTCCTCAAACAATAAGTGGTGGACATGACATTCTTTTCGTTTAGCACATTAGCTTTTTCACTAACTCTGTGTAGTCTTAAATCGGCCACTGGGTTAAGTTTTCTACTCCAAAGTTGGGTTAAATTTACTATTATGTTAAATTAGAACTATTAAATGTAGCTAACAAAAAGCAGACATTAATTCTGGGTCATTTGGACAAGCTAGCTGGCACTGACTTTGAAAACCAATAGCAGACCAATTAGCTTCTACAAGATTAATCTTTTACCAACTTTACATCCGCTAACAGCTAACTAACAAGCTAACATCAACAGGTCTGTGTTAGTCCCACCAGTTTTCAACTGGAAGGAGATCGACACAGACTGACAGTTGTTTTAGCAATTAGCGATAAGCTGCTAGTGTTAGCTTTCGCATATTTTTACTTGTTTAGCTGTAGCATTACCTTCCGTTATTATCTTTTTTTTTTTTTTACATATTTAGCTGTTTAGCATTAGTGAAGCTAAGTTTTTAGTTAGTGACGCTAACTTTTTGGTTAGCTGTGCCCTCCTCTGCTACAATAACATTCACTGGTGCTAGCTAGCTGACGCTAATAGGAGTTAGCTCGGTTCAAATTTAGGTAACAATTTTGGTTGTAATTAACTCAGCAGTACTTAGCGTGGCACAAGATGCAACAAGCTGAACTTATTTGGATCCAGTCAGCTTTTCTAATCTGTTCTGCTCTCCGCTGTTTAAGGCAACTTTCCAAAGTTTCAGTTGTTTGTTTAGATTTTAAAATTGGGGTTCTGTTGAAAGATTATCAACAATCTGTATATAACATGTTGTAAATAGGTCTTAATAAATTTTAGCTACAATCACCCCAAATTTTAGGTAGATGTTTGTTACATTATTAGAGTTCTAGTCATTATTGTGTGTTTTTTTTAAGTCAGTTAGCTGTGGCAGCCTCCCTGAATTGGGTTGACTCCAGAAGTGTAGACGTACATCTAATAATTACTTTCTGCAGGTTTTATTACAGTCTTTCCACTGGTTGATGAGATATTTTGCTAACAGACACACTGCTCATCATTTTCTTATCTTAAACCTAATCAGATACACCTCCAGGTGAGGAGGAAGGCGACGGCTACGAGACGGATCACCAGGACTACTGCGAGGTGTGTCAGCAGGGCGGTGAGATCATCCTGTGTGACACCTGTCCCCGAGCGTATCACCTTGTTTGCCTTGAGCCCGAGCTGGACAAGGCCCCCGAGGGAAAGTGGAGCTGCCCCCACTGTGTGAGTACAACATGCTGTGCACAGAGGAGCTCCTCTTCCTCAGTTTATACACTGCTCTGGATTCTTATTGTAACAAACAGACCTGCGCCCTTCAGAACCAGCCTCTGTAAATAACTCCGTGTCAGTGTGGGAAAATGAGAGGGAAGAATTTTTAAGACAGTTTTATCAGAGCGGCTGTTTGTTGAGGCTTACTTTTTAGTCTGTCTGCAAACCAGTTTCTACATGAAAGTGTAGGCATTTTGTCTTCAATTAGATTATTACAACGTTGATGCTGGAATCTTGAACAGCAATCGTAGTGAAGTTTGAATTTTTTAGCCTCTGATAGATCCAGATGTTAATAGTTATTAGTAAGAGGAATCTTTCTTTCTCACTGTAGCTTGATTCTGGGTGAACTCTTTGTGTTTTCTGCTCAGCTGCCAGGCTGCTGTCATCAGTGTTTTCCAGTACTTCCTGAAGTAGTTTGAATATCGAGGGTGTGCCTGCCTGTCGTCTAATTACTGATTTTTTAATGTGCTGTATCATCCACTGCTGAGCTGATATTAGCCTCACAGTAAAGATGATGCTCAGAATGTAAACCTCTCAGCTGAGAGGTTCATAAAAAGATGTGTCGACACAAAGATCTGGCATCTTTGTCRTTGTTTGAAACCAGAAGCATCAGTTGTAATATTTACTTTCTTTATTAAAACATTTTAGTTCTTTTATCTCTGTACAGGTTATGAGCAATTGTTATCTTACCTGCTGTAGATAGACCTTTGAACAACTTCTGGTTTGATTTTAACCTGACTGATGAGCTAACGACTAGTTCGCCACCATCTTAAAATGACCCCAAGTGGTCCACTTTGGTTTCTGTTTGGCACAGACTAGCCATTAGCTCAACAGTCTAGCCAGGATTAAACTTTTATTTTCCACATTGAGTTTGATCAAAGAGCCGTCTGCAGCAGGTCAGATGTTAAAGTGCCTGTGACGTGTTTATCTTTCAAATACAAAAAAGTCAAAGAAAACAGCTATTTTTACAAGCATGGCATAATACATGATTTTACCCATTTTCTTTGAATTTGGCTCGGCCACAGTGAAACAGGAAGTGACATCAAAGGGGAGGTCTTTAAGAAAATGACCTCTATGGTTTTATTTATTGAATGAATATTATTTTAACTCTGACTCTTCATCTCTCTAGTGACTCAAAATTGAAAGAAACATTAGATTTGTCTCTACAGTCTGTGTTGTTAGTTATTGTAGCAGTGCTCTGTGACATCACTTCCTGTTACTTTACACACTTATATCTCAAAAACTGTTCATCTCAGTGGCGTGAAATTATTTTTGCAATATTTTATAAAACAGTATTTTAATTGCAAAAAACATGAAAGAAACATTAAACAATAAATCACTATTGACCTCCTACTTGTGTATAAATCCATAAATAATCAGACTCCATCTTACATCAGTGAACTTTTAACTCTCTGCACTCTTTTAGACCCTCAGGTTTTCTCCTCAGAACTTTTAGTTGTTCCTTGTTCTCGACTGAAAACAAGTGAGAACTGTCTTTGCTGTCTCATTACATAATCTGGAGGGTTTTAAACCACGGCTGATGATTCAGGTCTCGTCAAATTGTTTTTTGTGTTGGCATCCCTTGGTTTAAGAAAACCTTTTGCATTGTTTTGTCTGATTTATATTCTTGCCTTTAAACCCTTTTTAAAACATGTTTGGTTATAAATGCTTACTATTTCCATATCTGTAACAGCTAACATTTTATATTCACACCTTGTTGCTCTGGGACAGCAGACGATGAAAATAGGTTACAGAAAAGGAGGTGTTACATAAATCAAGTGTTTCTTTTTATAACCTTTGTGCACCCAGAATGGGCTCACTCAGAGGGACAATCTATTTTTCATGAACTTTTTTCTTCTACCAGTAGTTTCTTAGCAGCTCCACTGAAGGGTCTCCTGAGTCCTCCCCCATGTCCCTCAGACACTTCCACTCAAAATAGAAGAGGAAACCACAGCGACAGCCTGGATTCACTCAGTTTTGGGTCCCCTCTGGGACTTCCTGTCATCTCTGCTGCCAACCTCAAATAAAGACATAACATGACCACCATTACAAAAATAAAAGCCTCTGAGCTTTTCTGCTATCTGTGCTTCCTCAGGAAAAAGAGGGAATCCAGTGGGAGGCGAAAGATGAAGACTTTGAGGACTTTGAGGAGGACAGCGAAGACCGAGTCATCTCAGAGGTGGGCGTGGGCGTCCACGCGGGCGCGGAGGAGGAAGACGACGACCACATGGAGTTCTGCCGGGTGTGTAAAGACGGCGGAGAGCTGCTGTGCTGCGACACGTGCACGTCCTCCTACCACATCCACTGCCTGAACCCGCCGCTGCCCGAGATCCCCAACGGAGAGTGGCTGTGCCCGCGCTGCACGGTCAGCGTCCGGTCGTTTCACAATTTGTCGTTTCGGAGAGAAAAAAAAAAGTTCATGTCTGATTATTTCCTCTCCTTGCTCCAGTGCCCGCCAATCAAGGGACGGGTGCAGAAGATCCTGCACTGGCGATGGGGTGAGCCGCCGTCTCCCATCCCCGTGCCACCCCCTCCCGACGCGCCCCCCGACGCCCCGCCTCTACCTCCCATGAAGGGCCGAGCCGAGAGGGAGTTTTTTGTGAAGCTGACCAGCCAGTCGTACTGGCACTGCACCTGGATCACTGAGCTGCAGGTGACACACACAAAATAAAC